CAGGTGACACCTTGTCAAGGGTTCAGGGATTAGAGACACAAAGGCACAAGTTTGTGGATGGGACGGTGGTGTTGGTTACAGAGCACATGTGCCGTATGGACGGACACCTGACTCACTGAACGTCTCATTAATATGCAGACCCACTCTGGATACTTCTCCAGTCTGTACCCTCATCACCATTTCGGCCCATTCCCGCATCATCACTCCGTAAGTGCCCCTCAAACCTGCCCCGGCCACCATTCTTCCTGCTCCACAGCTGCCCCACATGGCCTCTGATGAACAGGCCAGTGACTGGTTACAGTGTGACTGGTCACTGTGGCTATAGGCTGTCCCAGAAGGATACATCTCAGAGTGTAAGCACCCTGCTTCACACTCAGTATTGGGGAGCCTCCTCAACTGTGTGGCCTCTTAGGTGACCCTGGGAGTGGGAGGTGAAAGGATTGAGTTTGAGGTCAGCCTGGGCTATGTAGTGAGTTTCATGCCAGCCTAAGCTACACACAGAGTAAAATCCTTCCTTAAAGAGCCAAAGATTTAGAGCTATGGCTCAGTCATTAAGGGTGCACACTGCTCTTCAGGGGACTGGAGATGCCAGCACCCACATCAGGTGACTTATGGTCACATGTAACTCCAGGGGATCCAGTGTCTCTAGCCTTCGTAGGCACCTGCACTTACGTGTGCGCGCGCGCACACACACACACACACACACACACACACTCTCTCTCTCTCTTTTAAAAATTATTAAAAACAGAAAACCAGTTAGCAAATATTAATAAGCTAAAGAAAAGTTTCCAGTAGGCAAGGGATGTGGCGCAGTTGGCACAGTACTTGCCATACAAACCTGTAGACCTGGGTTCAAATCCTCAGCACCCACATAAAAGCCAGGTGCGGTGGTGCTCCTAGTGCTGAGGAAGTGGTGACGGGACCCCTGGATCTCACTGGCCAGGTTCCATAGGATTCTCGGTGTCAAAGCTAAGGGAGAGAGTGAGTGAGGAAGACGGCAGCATCGACCTCGGGCCTCCAACGTGTATGTGCGTGTGCCCATGAACGTGTGCATAGGCACACACCACACCACACCACACCTTTTTTTTTCTTGTTGGTGTTCTTTAATCCAAGTCTGACCCTGAAGACACTGCACTCCCATAAGAACCATTGGCAGCCTGACCTAAGAGCCGCTCTTTCCTCAGGGGTTTCCAGGGACAAGTGGCTTGCCCATCCCTGGTACTCGCCATGGGGCCTGGGCACAGCAGGGGGATCCACCTTGTGAAATGGTGTTTCTAGTTATGGAGGGACTGGACAGCTGTCCCTCTGTCCGTGGGCAGGTGTGTTTGGCTGGCCAGGCCAACTTTCAGAAAATGTCTCCTCCCACCATGGGTTCCAAGGATCAGACCATCAGGCTTGTGTGACAAGCACTTTTTAATCCACTGAACCACCACAGCCATTCTGGTCTCGGATGAAGGCACAGGAAACATACATATCAAATCTGTGCATGTCAGAGAACCCAGGCTGCCTGTGCCCAGCAAACAGACCCAGAGGGGATTGTAGGCTCATGCAATCCCGCTTGGGTTCATGTAGAGAGCACCAGGTCACACAAAGATCCACCATGCCGTGTTGGCCATCTCCCTGGGTAGTGAGGCCTTCCCATACTCTTACGGTACTTGGCTGGGCTGTGAGGTGCCCAGTGAGCCTGACAGTTCGCACGTGTTCTTTTCTAGTACCCAGAGCAGGAGACTGTGAATCTCTTCATCCCAACCCAGGCTGTGGGTGCTATCATCGGGAAAAAGGGGGTGCACATCAAACA